ATGCTGGCTGGGGAATTCTGGGAGTTGAAGTCCACTCATCTTAAAGCGGCCAAGTTTGGACAACACTGCTCTAGCCCAAGCTAAATGGATCTACCCCATGCACCTTTTAATTCCCATACCGATTGGCCCAAGGTGAATTCTACGTAAGCCAACCCCAACATATTTTCGAGTCTCCCTCTTAATTGTTTGGGGTAGGGCTGATGGAGAACGATGCCTGGCATTAGTATTGCACACATACAACTTGTGTCTGTTCTAACTCAGGTTCCCTCCCTCTCCATCAACATTTAGCTGGGTTGTCTTTAAAAATGAAAAAAGGAGGCCAAATGCCAGCTCTGCTCTCCAAGCAAATTCCAGTACTGTTTCAATGTTACAGTCTATTTCAGTGCGTGTGTACCCTGCTTGTTCTGATGGCACACTGTTGCACACGGAGATGCTCCTCTCACCTAAAAAAGTTACTCGTCTGCAAGAAAGGTCTTCTTCACGTTCGGTGGATATTCGTGAAATGCCGATGTGAAACCACTGTCACTGAAAGAGGGGCTCTTAGACCAAATGGCGCTGGAGATTGTCTCCCCGAAATGACGTTGCTTATTCTTCATGAGGATTTATGCAAGCATTTGACTGTGTTCAGCAGAGTGTGCTCACCAGCCCTTGGAACGTTGGAAATGAGAATGCTGGAAAACCCATCACCGGATTTCCACTCTTTGCACTATCTCAAACTGCACAGGGGTTTTTAACTTTCCTCCCTCTCAATTTTGTATTCTGTTCAAGAAATCAAATATTAGCCAGATTGGTATTTTAACCATCGCCTTCTCCTGTGTACATGATTGATTTGTGTGTGTCGGGTGAGGGTGGGGGAGAAACGACCCTTTCTGTTTCCAAAATACTGCCCTGGTGTGTCTTCGAGTCTTGTAGAGGACAGGTTTCTGAGAAAGCATTAAACTTTTTAAAACCTCCCTTTCTAAAGGTAATTTCTTTTTCCCACTGGGTGTTCTTTGGAGGCGCTGGGATGTTCCCAACCCATCTGGAGACCCCCAGGTTGGGAAAGGCTGCACTATGCAAACTGGCAGTTACCGAGAGATGCAGTTCTTCCCTTCTCCTTCCCCCACCCCCAGTTTATTTTTAAAATTTTGCTCTGCAATCTGGTGGCTGCAGCAGAGTGGGCAAAGTCCTTCTGCCATGATTGTTAATTTTGGAGATAATCAACTCTTCCTGCCTGCCTGCCTGCATCCAAGGTGGCTATTTTGAGGGTTCACTCGTCATCCTGTGCAAACCTATTTAGCAGTGTGTCCTATCAAATGCAGGGGAACGTACTTCTGGGTAAAAACTGGGCTTGCTCTGCATTGCAAGTGTGTGTAATGAGTGAACGAATGCTTTGCTTCTGTTAATTCAGGAAGCTTGATATATAACGCACTCCCAGACGTGCACAGGCATACTTTTGAACTGGTAAAAAAAAATACAGGTGATTATTTTTAACTCTCTCACTCCTGCAGGCTTCACCACTTGATCGTCTGCCCACTTGGACTTTACTTGGAATCAAGCCTTGCTATGGCTAGGTGTGTTCCTAATTGGGTGCATTTGCAGTTAATCTCACAGAAATCAGTTGGTCCGTTTTGAGTAATTTTACTTAAGAGTCCAGTGTCAAAGCATAGGTTCAGAACTTAGGTATGGAATAGATGGGAAGCAAATAATGCTTTGATGCATAAACTTGAGTTTGGCAAAGAAGGAAAAAAACTAGATTGACTAGATCAGGGTTCCTCAACCTTGGCAACTTTAAGACAGGTGGACTTCAACTCCCAGAATTCTCATCAGTAGCTTGGCAACTTTAAGACAGGTGGACTTCAACTCCCAGAATTCTCATCAGTAGCTTGGCAACTTTAAGACAGGTGGACTTCAACTCCCAGAATTCTCATCAGTAGCTTGGCAACTTTAAGACAGGTGGACTTCAACTCCCAGAATTCTCATCAGTAGCCTTGCTGGCTGGGGAATTCTAGGAGGTGAAGTCCACCCGTCTTAAAGTTGCCAAGGTTGAGGAACCCTGGACTAGATTTTAAAAGTCCAGGGATTTTTGTAGGACAGCACACTGTTGCAGATATGCATGTACACACACGTGCACACACACCCCTTGGCTTCATCTGCAGTCTGGTCCAACTATAAAGTCATTCAATTCAACGGCAGATGATTGTGAGGGCCTGTTGATCAAAAAGGAAGGAGGCATCTCTTCTCTTTCATTGTCTGCCATCATGTGGTGGAAGATACAGCTGCACTGGGATTCAAGATTCTGTGACAATTTAGGAAACATGACCCTTTCCTAAAGCACCTGTGAATTTTTGTATTTCAATCCTGAACAAATTGGCTTGGGCACCTGGTAGATAGCAAACTGAAAAATTACTCCTGAGTTTTCCAGTTGTGACTTGGGCCTTCATCATAGAGGTCTAGCCAGTTCCAGTGGCCAGTGCTACGTTAGGACAATACTTTCAAATGTGGAGGACTCTTGTAACACTTTACTTTGTGCCCCCCGTACGCTCTTAGTTTGAGAACTGAAGCCAGATTTGTTCCAAACTTGCAAGCTGCCTTTTTTATGGGGGGGGGGGCAGTTTTACAAGACTCTGCCTTTAGCAAGATTCTGTCTGCAACAGGTGAAATTTCGTTTTTTGTCACAGAATGCTGAGAAGGTAGACTGAACTGCTTAAAGAAATTTGGGCAAATTAAAAAAAAATTGGCAATATGTTTTGAAATGGATAAACATTGGGCCTCTACTAATCTTTTAATAGTGTCCTGTGCCAGTGTAATACGAAATGAGTCCTACTGAATTTGGTAGGGTTTATCCCAGGCAAGTATACAGTTCCTCTTGAGTCAAGATTCAGTAGAGCGATTGACCTGTACCACAGTGGCAATTTGAGCCTTTCTTTGCTTGTTGCCCCTGCTCTTGTGAAGCAAATAATGCAGTCCTTAAAAATTGTAGGTAAAGGATTTCACAGCGTGCTTGGCTTTGGTACTTAAGTAGCCTGCTCTCTGCCTCACAGCACAGTGCAACCAAACAGGCTGGGTAAAAATGAACCAAGTGCAGCGTAATTGTGGAAGTAGATTGTGCAAAACCTCTTGGTACATGCAAGGATGCAGAAAGATCCGATTGCTGACTGGGGAAGCGTTAGAGTCATTGGGCTCCCTGGAACGTGCCCGTCGGATGCAGCGGCTTGGCCCGACAGGAGCAGTTCCCGGCTGTAAAGGTGCATCGGAATTCTGCATTGGTCTAGTCAGTCTTGGGAGCTACCAGATTCTGAGTCTGCTGGGAGGAGTGGGCAAGGGTGAGGTGCTTAAGTGTGTGCCCTGCAGGGGGGTCAAAGCAGTCCTGACGGCAGCCACAACCATGCAATCCAAGTTGCAACATACTTAAACGGGGCTTTGCATGGTTGTGGCCATCTTGACCTTTCTGAGACGTAAAAAAAGTGGGGCTTTGCAGTATTGTGACCCCATTGACTTTTTTTTTTACCCTCCTCCCTGTAGACACCCTGATGCCTTTTTTGGGGGGGGGTAAATTGGACATTTGCCATTACAGTGCCTGTCTTGCTTGACATCAAATGCATCTGTTCCATATTTAGGATCTAGGTCCTGCCTGATATCCACCCCAAACTCTATTTCCCTTTAAAATCAGAAGTGTCTCACGAATACCTCATCACACTGGTAATCATGGCTTTATTAGCAAGATTTCTCCCCCCCCACCCCCAAAGGAAGTAGCATCCTAAAACATTCCCGAGTGCTGCCATAGCAAAGGATTTTCATGAACCAACAGAAAGGAGAGGAACTGAACCAAGATTATTGAAGTTGGAAACATATTTATGCATAGGGTGTGGTGTGAGCTTGACAAACAGGTCTGGTTGCGTATCACGGGCCAGGTTGCTCCAAATAATTCCTCCCTCTCTTTCCTGCTTCCTTGGAATATTTAAAAGCAAAAAAAGGCTTCATCCAGCTTCTGCATGTCTGAAATGTTTTTGTCCCAACTGTTTCAGATCCATATTTGTGTGCTGTGCTCAGGTGACCTTTGGTATCAGAACAAGCATGCCAATCAAACTCAGAGGATCTATTGGATACTTGGAGGGGAAAAAAAATGTTTTTCAAATGCCTATGTTTTGGGGAGGGTTTAAAATGGGAGAAATGGGTCGTTGTTGTGGGATGGGAGTTTTCAACTTTTGAGTTCATGTAAAGGCTTTGTTTCATATGAAAAGCTTCATTCAGCTTAACACAGTCATTCCTGCTGCTAACATGAAAAACGAGGGTCAGCATCCTGACTAAAAGAAATATTCCTGCCACATGAATTTGGTTTTAAGTAGAAGATACTTTCTTCACTAATAAGACAAGGGTTGGTGGCTCAGTTGAGCTCAACTGGAGACTGGACGTATTTCCCTAGCAACGCTACAGAAGGGGCTTGCCATGGCTTTCTTCCAAATGCTTTTAAGACTTCCCAGTTGAGTTGACAGCCGTAGGATTTCCCTGCTTAGCTTCTCCAAGATCAACCAAGATTATTTAGATGCTGCCGGTCACAACCATGAATGGGGATATCTGCAAGGAGGGGTTCACAAAAGTTACAGGGGCAGCCCCAACCATGGGACAAAGCCCTGCCCTTTTGTAAAATGCATGTTAGATGTAGAGTTGTGGCTGCCATCTTTTGACCCCCTCCCTGAGAATATCTCTGGCCATAAATAACTAATAACAAGACTAGGTGGAGTTTATTCTTTACAAATAACCAACACGTGAGTTGCTGGTCCTCAAAGACCTTAACAGTTGGGATAATCAATAGTCTGTAGACTAGATTGCTACTCTACTAGTACTGCTGTCTCAGTGAGTTTTTGGTTTTAGTTC